AGATTGAGAGAGAGAGAGAGAGAGAGAGATGGATAGAGAGAGGTAATATAAATTCGATGCGTCGTTCGTTAGCTCTACGTGGAACCACCCCGACTAAAACGTTATTCCGTCAAAGTAAATGAGCTCCACAGTCAATCGAACGAAATATCTCGAATACTTCGTTCGTTGCCGAAGCACCAAGTCTGCTTCGCTTTAACTCGCGATTAAAAATTCCTACCATGGAAAACAAGCCGCGATACGAAAATATGCTGGCGATTTTCGGGAGCGGTCTGTGCGGTCGAATTACACGACGTGAAGAGCGGATTAAAAAAAGAAATTGAGGCTGAGAGAGAGAGAGAGAGAGAGAGAGAGAGAGAGAGGAGGAGGGAGAGAAAAAAGAGGGTGAAAAAGTGGTAAAATATCGTGTCAATCTATGGCCAGATAAAATCGCATTCGTCGCCATCGATGTGATAAACAAAACAGAATTAACACGTATGCAGTTTACGTAAGCTTCCGAATGAATCTTTTCACGTGTAACCCCATACACATGTTCGTCGTTTTATAGGGAGTGTGATATTTAAACAACAAATATCTCGATGGTATCTTATCTTCATAATAAATCAATAATAAAATTTCTCAGGGGGAAAAATATGATCTTAAAAAATTAAATAAATCCTGATGATCGTTTTAGAACGATATCTACAATTTTTTTTTTTTTTCGTAAAAAGTAAATTCGTACGGATATTCTCGTTTAATTGTCCCACCTTGTACGTACCTATCTATGTGCGTATGTAAATTTTTTTTCTCTTTTCGAGATACATATATATATATATATATATATATATATATATATCTTTTTTTTACTCAAATTTCGTTGAACGAGAGACGGCAGAGAAGCGAACACGGGCGCGACATCGAATATCCGCAGCGAATACGCACGACGGTAGTGGGTGAGAGTAACTCAATACTCGGGCAGAGTTATCAGCGCGTAGCTGAATTTACGCAACCGGGAAAGCGCATTTTTGCGCTTCGCGTTCGATTCGACGCTGCTTCGACCGCGAGTGTGTATACGTGCACGCTACGATTCATCGGATTTTGCGAGATTTCCGTCGCGTTCGGAATATTACTTTTTTCCACGGCTGACCGATACGTATGTGCACATGCCGGTCAGATTTTTTTTTGTTCTTTTTTTTTTCGTACGGAAGACATTATTTACTCTGAAGATTACGTTCATCGGTATCAATGAACTCGTCCATTTCTATGTTTTTTTAAACAAACAGATAAAGTTATCTCGCGGATATAACAGAGAAACAATAACAATCGGTATGAAACGTAATAAAAGTTTCTATGGTACCTACGTAACTGAAGGATTCAAATCGTTCGTTCAGAGACATCGTCAATATTGAAAATTCGACGAACAAAAAAGGAGATTTCTTGTATATACGGCAATACTGTAGAATATTCGGAGGTCTCGCGACGAGAATATTTTCATCACGGGATCGTAAATAAAAAGCTCGATGGATCGTCGATAGGAGACGAAGTAACGAAAGGGAGTTTGGAAGTGGAGGAAGGGATGCTAGTGGTCGTACTGGCGGTGCTCCTGCTCCTGCTGCTACTGGTGGTCACGAAATGGAAAATTCGAGAGAGTACGAGTATATATAGCTATATGAATATATGTATATATATACATATATATATATATATATACAGATATATATATGCGCGTATATGTATGCACGTAGGACGGTGGTTGGTGAGACGTAATATCAATACGCCAGGAAGGCAGGATAGTCGCGTCTGATTTTCCGAGCGCATCGGCACGTGGATAATGTTTTAATGGAGTTTGTGGAGTGCGAGGAGGGAGGTGGCTCAGGGGTTGAGGCCAAGGGTGAAGTCGGCACGGTTTACATACCATTTACTCGCGCCCTGTAACCTCGGGTAGCGGCTGTTTACAGTGCTGTACAAACGGTGCCCGCCTCTCGGCAGTCTACTCACGATGCCACGTTAGTGATCCTCCTTCTAATCCATGCGATAATCGAAGCAACTTTCGAGCCACCGTTAGAGAAGTCGCGCCGACTCCATTGCGAAATTGCGCACAGGTACACGGTACGGTTGTGTTGATAATTTCTATGTAATATTAAAATATCAAGAGGGAAAGGATAAAATCTTTTTAAAACTGGATTCCACTAAGACCAGTAAGCTCAAACTGTTTGTAAAATATTCAGATAATTTTTATTAATTTTAATAAACTCTATTATTGCCCATTATAACGATTTTTTATTTCACATAATGAAGATTTGATGATCTGAAAATTGAACATATAAATTAACTTGTATTAATAAATTTAAAGAGAGATCAAATTTTTTGATGCTCTTATCAGATAGATCCTAAGAATCACGGCGATATTCGGTCCGTGCATCAAAGACGATATTACATCCTTATTCTGATTTATGAGCGTTTATAATGTCACTTTTAATTCGATGCCGGAAGCTCCCATCGAGGGTTAGAGAAACGAGCGTTA